TAAGTTAAAATTGTTGAGGATGGAGAATGGGTCCATGTTGGAGACCCAGAAAATGGTGAGGGGTCCTGTGGTGGTTGCTTTTCTTCCCTAACATCACTACACTTCTCCAGGAGGGATTGGGATGAGGGCCTCAGCATGTATTCCCCAATGCCATCTTCAGATGGATCTCAGTGGACAAGGGTGGGCCAGGTGCCACAGTGACCACACCATAATGGCGGGATTAGCCTTTCTGTGCAATTTAACAGCAGTCTGCACTTCCCAAGCCTCTGCTGTCTAGCAGACTATGGGAGTCTCCTCCTGCTCTGCCTCCCTTCCATGATCATTGTGAATCTGGTTCCTGGAGCTGAGCCACAGTAACTTCAGCCATCTGCCACTTGGCATTTCCACTACCCCTGGGGACTGGGTGCTGCTGTTTTTTCACAGTATCCTATGGAGTCTGGCTAATGAGATTCTGGGGGACCCGAACTTCCTGGAGCTGCTGGACCTCTCCACAACTGACTGGCCCACCTGCCTTCAGACTTTTCAGCTGCCCTGAGCTCTCTGCTCTGGATCCTTTTCACAATCCGCTCACCACCCTGGACCTTGGCACCCAGTAGCACTGGGAGAGCTTGAGACAGCTTGGCCTGTGCCACAACCAGCTGCCTAAATTGGGCAGCAACAGGCTCAGGCCTCTTCCACCTATACCGGTTCTTGGAACTAATTGCAGTAGGAATTACCCTGACCATCATCACTTCAGGCCTGAAAGTCCCCTCTGGCTGGGAGCAGCTACAGCACACTGGAAGCCAAGGCCTTTGTGGTCTTGTGGTCAATAGCTCGTCTCTTTGGTTATCTTGTTACAGCACCTTAAATATAATGTGGCAGACACATGGCTTCTACTGGTCAGCTTCCCTTTTTATCATCTGCAGTGAGCCTTTGGGAAGCTGAGTCATGTGAGGTGCTTGACATGCACTGGACCCGTATGGCTTTTGAGGGCATGCTGAGCAGTGTGGAGGCATGGTTCTGCCTGACTATAACAGCCACTGTTTTGGGCATCATAAGCACCATACTGACCTCTGTGATTATGGCTGTGGTCATGGCCAAATGCAGGTTTTCCCAGGGACTTGGTGGAACCAGGGAAGAGCTGAGGAACTTCTGGCGAGGTGAGTGAGGCTGTGGAAGGAGATGTGAGAGGAAAAAAAGTTCCTTAGATGTCTGTGGGGCTCAACTGTGTCAGGATGGGGCTAGAAGGAGGTGGGCTGATGCTGAACTCATTCTCCAGACATGCTGCCCATCCATCCCCTTCCCTGACCTAGCACTGTGCTAACACCTGGCCCAACCCTAGAGACTAGGAGTTAGTCTATGGAGGAAGAAGGCTGAGTGGAATGCGTTATTGGAGAAAACTTCCTGAATACCAGTCTTTCCTCTCACGAATGTTGATGGCTTCTGCTGAAGGGAACTGTCTTAGGGTTTTATTGCTGTGAAGAGACACCATGATCACGGCACCTTTTTAAAAAAAAGAAGATTTATTTATTATGTATAAAAAAGAGGGTGCCAGATCTCATACAGATGGTTGTGAGCCACCATGTGGGTGCTGGGAATTGAACTCAGGACCTCTGGAAGAGCAGTTGGTGCTCTTAACCTCTGAGCCATCTCTCCAGCCCCAATCATGGCAACTTTTATAAAGGAAAGCATTTAGTTGGGGTCTGGCTTATAGTTTCAGAGGTTTAGTCCATTGTCATCATGGTGGGACATGGCAGCATGCAGGCAGATGTGGTCTGGAGAAGGAGCTGCGAGTTCTACATCTGGATCTGCAGGCAGCAGAATTGAAAGTGATACTAGTCCTGGCTTGAGTATCTGAGACCTCAAAGCCCATCCCTACAGTGACACACTCCCTATGGACCAAGCATTCAAACATGTCTAAGGTGACCATTCCCATTCAAACCACACAGGGACTCTGTTGAAATTGATTGCTAGGGCTGTGATGGGAGAGTGGGCCTCTACTTATGGAGACAGGACAGGTGAGCTTTTAGAATTATTCTATGGACATAAATAATCCCAGCTCTGCCAGGCTTGGTCAAGTGAATGCCTTTAACCCCAGCATTTGGGAGGGAGAGGCAGGTGGATTTGTATGAGTTTAATGTTAGCTTGGTCTACATAGTGAGTTCCAGGCAAGCCAAGGTTATATAGTGAAACCCTGTCTCAAAAAAAAAAAAAATTCATCTGGGCAGTGGTGGTGTACACCTTCAATCCCAGTGCACTGGGTAACAGAAGCAGGTGAATCTCTTGAGTTTGAGGCCAGTCTGATCTACAGAGCAAATTCCAGGATGCACAGGGCTACACAGAGAAACCCTGTCTTGAAAAACTGAAAAAAGGGGGTCTGTAGAGATGGTTCAGGGGTTAAGAGCACTAGCTGCTCTTCCAGAGGTCCTGAGTTCAATTCCAACTACGACATGGTGGCTCATAACCATGTATAAGAGATCTGGTGCCCTCTTCTGGCATGCAGGTGTACATGCAGAGCACTCATACACACACACACACACACACACACACACACACACACACACACACAATTAAATCCAAGTGCTGTTCCTCCTTAATGCCTCAGGGCTATGGATCTTGCCTTACTTGAATCAGTGGTGGTGGAAGAGACTAGGGAAGTAAAATCAGTTGCAAAGTGGTCTGTTCTATGGGCTTGTGTTATGGTGAGGAAAATGAGTCATGAGGCTGCCACTGAGGGATAGAGGTAGACAAAAATAACTTTTTTTTTTCAGAGACAGAGTTCCTCTGTGTAACATTCTGGCTTTCCTGGAACTCAATTTGTAGACCAGGCTGGCCTCTAACTCACTGAGATCCACCTGCCTCTGCCTCCACCTCCCGAGTGTTGGGATTAAAGGCCTGCAACACCACTTCCCGGCTTTGACAAAAATAACCTTTAACTTGGACTTTTTTTCATTTTCCTTTTCTATTATCCATGCCTAATTTGTATCCACATAATCCCATTCCCTCTCTCATTCTTTGATGGGTGTGTCTGTCTGTCTGTCTGTATCTATCTATCTATCTATCTATCTATCTATCTATCTATCTATCTCCTTATGTATATACACATGTATATCTATATACATATATATTTCCTTACATTCTTTCTGATATACCTAGTCTTTGTTTAAAAAAATGAAATGTAGCAGGGTGGTGATGGTGCATACCTTTAATTCCGGCACTTGAGAAGCAGAGGTAGATGAATTTCTGTGAGGCCAGTCTGGTCTATAAACTGAGTTCCAGGACAGCTAGTGCTGTTACATGGAGAAACTGTCTCAAAAAGCCAATAAATAAACAAATAAAGAGGAGGAGGAAAAAGAGGAAGAAGGAGGAGGAGGAGGAGCAGCAGGAGGAGGCCATGGTGACTTTATTGTAGCACCCAAGAGGCAGAGGAAAGTAGATTTCTGTGAGTTTGAAGGTCTTCATAGCAAGTTCCAGCCAGCCAGGCTACATAGTAAAATCCTGTCTTAAAAGACAAAGGAAGAAAAGAAAAAAAGTGAAAAGGCTTTTTTGTCCACCTTTCACTCACCAGATAACTGGAAGGTTTTTTTTTTTTTTTTTTTTTTTTAATCCTCATGGTCAGAAATACTGTTTGGACATGAGTTCCTTCCAGCGAATTGAAATCAGATCCCAAATAAATGACCCATTGGCACTGGAGTGCTTACAGGGTCTTAACTTCAATATTAGAGGGTGAATTAATCTGTTAAATTATGTATGGTATGTGTGCCTCAAAATATAGGTGGGGGCAGCTTTGTGGCGGCAACTACATACTGTCGGAATCTTTGCTTTCATTGGTATTTGCTGAACACTGACTACAAGACAGTGACAACATTGCATGTTCATTTATCTGTGTAGCACATATTTCCTGAATGTATATTTGGCCCTGAGACTATAAATAAACTACATGCTTATAGTCGTTGTACTCCTGGAATTCATGTTCACGTGTGTGTGTGTGTGTGTGTGTGTTTATTGATAACTGAGTTGCAAATACATAATTGCCTCTGCTAAAGTGAGTAAAAGGGAAAGTAGCTGCCAGGCATGGTGAGGCATATTCACAGTCTCTGTACCCTTGAGGTGCAGGCAGGAGGCCGACAATTTAGGGCATATCCTGATCTACATAGGAAATCATGTGAACAATAAAATCAGCCCTCTGGCCGGGCAATGGTGGCGCACGCCTTTAATTCCAGCACTTGGGAGGCAGAGCCAGGCGGATCTCTGTTAGTTTGAGGCCAGCCCGGTCTACAGAGCGAGATCCAGGACAGGCACCAAAACTACACAGAGAAACCAACCCTGTCTCGAAACAAAACAAAAATCAGCCCTCAATCTCCTCTCAATAGATGTTTGGAGAATACGTAATAGGGGAGGTGGGAGCCACTTGAAGGACGCTGAAGTTAGGCTGATGGCTGTTTGAGCGAGAGTGGGAATATCACAGCTGGGAAAAACGGACTGATTATGATGCAGTAAATGTGTAGGCCTCCCTCTTCTCTCAGGAGACACAGACATCCAAGACCCAACAGGTGACTTAGAGCCAAGAGGACTCCTTACTTTAAAACTCCAGCAAAAGCCAAGGAATTCTCTCTGGGGCCCGTGTGGATATATTACACCTTTTATTGGACTCTTCTTATGTGCTAAGACCACCTTCCAGAAACGGTGAGGTAGAACGTTATTATCCCCATTTCACAGATGAGTCTTTGTTTAGATGACGCAGGATTGGTTTTCCGGTTAGAGTACAGGTCTGGTTACGTCTAGACTTGTTTGCTTCCATACATCAAGCTGCGATCCAGAATTTTTGGTGTTCCGACCCTATGTTCCTTGCTAATATCCCATTTTCAAAGTACAAAGAGGAACTCTGAGCCATAGGCAGAGTTTGGAAAGGTTGAACGCCTTCTTCTAGAACACGTTTTTCCAGCCGGAACTAGAGAGCGAGAGCTTTGTTTCCCTACGAAGAGAAACAGTAAGGGACCGGAAGTTGCTTGTATTATCCTCCGTCCTCGTCTCCCAAACCCGGGTGAGGCCATAGCGGACTGCCCTTTCTCAAGATGGCTTCGAAGATTGGTTCGAGACGCTGGATGCTGCAGCTGATCATGCAGCTGGGTTCGGTGCTGCTCACGCGCTGCCCCTTTTGGGGCTGCTTCAGCCAGCTCATGTTGTACGCTGAAAGGGCCGAGGCGCGCCGGTGAGCGCGCCCACGAAGCCGTCGAATGCGGTGGGGGGCGGTACGGCCTGTCCCAGGAACTGGTGCGGTGATGTTGGGGGAAGTTGGGGCCCAGAAGTTGGGACATTTGGACTGGGTGGAATTGGTACTCAGACAGGTTGGGAAATGTTCTGGTCCCACACTATGACCAGAGCTGATGCGGTGGCCCCAGCAGTGAGAAGGGTCTCGTTTCTGGGGAGCAGTGGAGCTTGTGGGAACTTAGACTTACTCAACGTTCATTCTGTCCTCATTGCTCCCTACCTTCGATTCACAGGAAGCCCGACATCCCAGTGCCTTACCTGTATTTCGACATGGGAGCAGCTGTGTTGTGTGCTAGTTTCATGTCCTTCGGAGTGAAGCGGCGCTGGTTTGCGTTGGGCGCCGCGCTCCAGCTAGCCATTAGCACCTACGCCGCTTACATCGGGGGCTATGTCCATTACGGGGACTGGTTAAAGGTGAGCACATAAACTCTAGAAGAGATTTAGCCGTGGGGGAAGGAACTACAGAGTCCTGGGGCACTTGGTGGGCACGTGTGGTACTCCCAAACATGAAGCCCGGGAAGACGGAGGCACGAGATTTGTAGCAGTTGTGTAGCGGTTATTACAGAGCACAGACGTGGCAGACCCATAGAGACCTCACAGACCTCCCTTGTCAGACCTCCCTTGTTGAGTGTGAAATGGAGTTCCAGAGATGAGAAATGGACTTTCTCCGAAATCATGCCACAGTGTACTGATGGGACCTGTAACCCAGAGTTACCTGATTCCCAGAATCCTTTAAACCACTACTTTATTAATCCCAGACTCATAAAGCAAAAGAGACCTTGGAGAGTACCTGGCCTACTCATCAGGTTTTATGAAATGTAGTTAATATTAGTGCAGAATTTGTGTCTGCAAACGCAGAAGCAGTACTGGCCACTGTAAGCCTGAAGGTAAGGTGGTACGGAGGCAGTACCTTCAAAGACTGGACTGTTAGTCCAGTAGGGGAGGCAGATGTGTGAACAGCTCTGGGACGATGGGTCTAGTTTGTTTGTTTTCAAAAAAGGGTTTCTCTGTGTAGCCCTGGCTCTTCTGGAACTTGCTCTGTAGACCTCCCTGGTCTCGAACTCACACAGATCTGCCTCTGCCTCCTGAGTGCCGGGATTAAAGGTGTGCGCCACCACTGCCTGGCTGGCTATTCTTATTTTAGTTGGTATAGAGTCTATACTACATAGAGGCAAGAACCCTGGGGTGGAGTCGGCAACATGTGGCGTCTGGGTCCTGCCACTTCCTTTCTGTCGGACCCTGGACAGTTTCCTTACCCCCTCTCAGCCCTCAGTTTCTACCTTGTAAAGAGAATTTCTCTCTCGGCAGTACCTGTCCACTACACGTGGGGTCGGTAAGAGGGTTCATCAGGTAGAATGGGGTGTGTAGAAGGGACCGGTCCCGTGCTCTGGACAACCAAGAGAAATGTGATGATTGCAGTTCTTGACTGGGGCCCCTCTTTCCCTGGCCTTAGGTTCGCATGTACTCGCGCACAGTCGCCATCATCGGCGGCTTTCTGGTGCTGGCCAGTGGGGCTGGGGAGCTGTACCGCCGGAAACCCCGAAGCCGTTCTCTGCAGTCCACTGGCCAGGTGTTCCTGGGCATCTACCTCATTTGTGTGGTAGGTTGGGGTTCGATTGACTGGACGCACCTACGTGGGGGGTGAAATGTGTGCTTAAGCCTGGCAGAATCCTGGCAGTTGGGCGGAGCAAGGCCTTGAAGGTAATCTCTGGTGGTTCCTAGAGATTGCCCTGGACAGCTTCCGGTTCTCAGGGGCCCTCCAAATACCCGATTCCTGGCTGAGGGTCCCTCCTTCCAACGTTATTGCCACCAGCTAGATAAGGAGTTTGAATTGACCATTCAGTCCCAATCCTGAGAATCCAGCAAACAAGATGTGGTGATTTTTTTTTTGCATTGCTTCAGCCTCCAGAGGACTGAGAGAGAGGACAAAGGACAGGTGTGGTGCAACTCAGCCCTAGAGTTGCCACTCTGCCACCTAGAGCTGATGGGGCTACGTAGGGTAGTCAGGTAGTCCTTCCCGGCGCTTGGGAAGGCCAGTGTAGATGAGGACGCAGATAGGGCTTCGAGCACTTGACCTCATCCCAGGAACCAGGAATCATATCCCACGTGCAGAGTTCTGTGTGGGCTTCCATGGTGTGTATGTTCAAAAGTGGGAGTCTCCATCTGTCTGTGGAGACACACTTCCTCCTTTCAGAAGCTCCCAGGGGAGTAGAGATCAGTCTTACCTCCTGGGCCCTATAATCAGAGAGGGAGACAGGCCATACTTTCAGAGGGTCCCGATCCCGAGAGGGAACTTCGAGGCTCCCTTCATAGGGGCTGACTTGTGGGTACCACCTCAGGGAGGCCCTCATCAGTCTCAAAGGATGCTGTGTCTTTAGGCCTACTCGCTGCAGCACAGCAAGGAAGACCGCCTGGCGTACCTGAACCATCTTCCAGGAGGGGAGCTGATGATCCAGATGTTCTTCGTGCTTTACGGGGTCCTGGCCCTGGCCTTCCTGTCAGGTTACTACGTGACCCTGGCGGCCCAGATCCTGGCTGTGTTGTTGCCTCTGGTCATGCTGCTCATCGATGGCAACGTTTCCTATTGGCACAACACTCGACGTGTCGAGTTCTGGAACCAGATGAAGCTACTTGGCGAGAGTGTGGGGATCTTCGGGGCTGCTGTCATCTTGGCTACTGATGGCTGAGTTCCCCAGGGAGAGGCTGATTTGGGCACAGGGGGCCACCGAGGGCCACCTTACCTTCTTCCTTGCTGGTCCAGTTGCTGTTTATTTATGCTTCTTGGTTTGTTTGTTTACCTTTTTTTTTTTTAAATAGTTAAGGTTTCTTCTTCAAGTTTGTGGCTCAGACCTTGGGAAGATGGAAACCCTCATGCTAATGCCTTGTAGGGTTGTTGTTTTCTTCTTACCTGTTTTAGGGGAGAGCTGGGGCCAGCTGCCCCTCCCCCATGTGTCCAAGGAGGGAGGAGTCCCTGAGGAAGGAGTAAAGGCAGAGCTGGGGTACAGGTATTAGGAGTAGGGGACAGAGGAAGATTGGGAAGTGAGCAAATGTGAAAAGTCCTTTTGGAACTTGGCAGATGCAGCTAAACTAAACAGTGCTTTTCAGACTAGGTGTCTGTGTGTATCCACAAGTTTGTCTTCACACTTGTAGAGGGAGCCCTGCAAGGAAGGGCTGAGTGACTGGTGCTACAGAAGTCCCATGGGCTCTTTGGGGGTCTGCTGGGGCAGGAACAATCTAAGGTGTCTGACCCCTTCTGTAGAGTTCAGAGCTGGCCCCAGTGTGCTCTGGGATGTGCAGGGTGGAGCAGGTCTGCCAGGCTGCTGCCACTTCATCTGTTCTCAGCTCCTTAGTTGGCTGGATAGGTGGAGCACCCTCCTAAACGCCAGACCACACAGTCCTCCAACAATAAACATTTGATACAGACATTTGCCTTTGCTTCTGTCTTCCCCATTAGACACTTTGCCATTGACTGGGATTTGAGGTTTCTTGAAAGATCATCTTTGGTTAAGCCCAATCTGGTCCTCCTCTGATTCCCCACTACCCCTAGTTCTGAGAGTTCCCATAGTTCTTTAACTATTTAAACAAACAAATAAACAACAACAAAAAAGCACTTGCTGGGGGTTGTGGTGGCGCACGCCTTTAATCCCAGCACTTGGGAAGTAGAGGCAGGTGGATCTCTGTGAGTTCGAGGCCAGCCTGGGCTACAGAGTGAGTTCCAGGACAGGCTCCAAAGCTACACAGAGAAACCCTGTCTCCAAAAACCAAAAAAAAAAAAAAAAAAAAAAAAATTATATATACATATATATATGTATATATAATTTTTTACAGAACACTGTATACATTATATATACATATATACACATATATAATATACATTATATATACATATGTATATATGTATATGTATATAATGTATACAGTGTTCTGCCTGCATGTATGCCTGCAGGCCAGAAGAGGGCACCAGATCTCATTACAGATGGTTGTGAGCCACCATGTGGTTGCTGGGAGTTGAACTCAGTACCTCTAGAAGAGCAGCCAGAGCTCTTAACCTCTGAGCCATCTCTCCAGCCCTCTTTGTTGTTTTTTGAGACATAGTTTCTCTGTGTAGCCCTGGCTGTCCTGGAACTCACTCTGTAGACCAGGTTGTCCTTAAACTTAGAGATCCACCTGCCTCTGCCTCCCAATGCCAGGATTAAAGGTAAGTGCCACCACATCTGGCATTAATTTCGTTTTTGAGACAGCATCTCACTGTGTAACTTAGCCTGGTCAAGCTGCTGTTCCTCCTGCCTCTACTTCCTGGATGCTGAGGTTACAGGCATGTCTCTATGTCCAGCTTGGTTTATGCTTTTGATTTCCCTTCCGTCCTTTTCTAGCCTGTCTTTCCTTCTTTGCCCATTTGGGGCAGCTCTTTTGAAGAAATCTTTGGTTAGGGCAGCTAGAAAGAGAGAACTAATGTCATATGACAATGAGGACATGGGGGATTCAGAGAAAGTAAGCAGCTTGCCTCAAATCCAGCTGGAGCTAGATGGCTGGTCAGGTCTGTGGAATGTCCAAACCCGGATGTGTCCTTGTTACACATAATCCCTAAGGGAAGACAGGCTGCTCTTGGGCCTTGGGCCTGTCATAGCTCCTGGTGTGCCACGGTGGTCTTATGGAGACACCGAGTGTATTAAAAAGTATTTGAACAAGGGCTGGAGATGTAGCTTAGTTGGTAGCCCTGGGTTTAATTCCCATCCAGTGGGAATAAACATCCCTGTGGTCTCAGCACTTCCGAAAGTGAAGGCAAGAAGATAAATTCAAGGTCATCAGCTACATAATGAATTTCAAGCCAGCCCGGGCTAAACTGCCTCAAGAAATGGGGTGTGTGTGTGTAGTGTAGAGGTAGGCTGGAGAGATGACTCAGTGGTTAAGAGCACTTACTATTCAGTCATGAGGACTAGAGTTCAGATCCCAGCACTCACATCAGATGACTCATGAATGCCTGTAATTCCAGCTCCAAGACATCTAATACTCTGCCCTCCATAGGTGCATGCGTAAACACACACATAGACATAAATGAAATATTTTTTTTAATGTGTATGGGTATTTTGCCTGCATGGACATCTTTGCACTATGTTTATGCCTGGTGCCCATGGAGGTCAGGAAAGGGCATCACTCTAGGGGACTGGAGTTATAGACAATTGTGGGCCACCATGTTGTTACTGGGAATAAAATCTGGGTCCTATGGAAGAGTAGCCAGTGCTCTTAACCACTGGGCCATTTCTCCAGCTCCCATAATAAAAATCTTTCTTTTTTCTTTTTGGCTTTTCAAGACAGGGTTTCTCTGTGTAACAGTCCTGGCTGTCCTGGAACTCACTCTGTAGACCAGGCTGACCTCAAACTCACTGAGATCCACCTGCCTCTGCCTCCCAAGTGCTGGGATTAAAGGCATGTGCCACCACCACCTGGCTAAAAAGAAATCTTAAGAAAATGTTTAGGTCTCAGAGCACTCACGCCCCTTCAGGGAATCAGTTTGGTTTCTAGCATCCATGTCAGGTGGCTCACAACCATTTGGAACTTCAGCTCCAGGGTATCTTATGTCCTCTTCTTGCCTCTGTGAGTACCTGCAGGAAACACACACACACACACACACACACACACACACACACACACACACACACACACAATTTGAAAAAAAATTTTCAAAAAACATTGAGGGCTGGAGAGATGGCTCAGAGGTTAAGAGCACTAACTGTTCTTCCAGAGGTCTCGAGTTCAATTCCCAGCAACCACGTGGTGGCTCACAACCATCTGTAATGAGATCTGGTGCCCTCTTATGGTGTGCAGGCAAACATGAAGTCAAAACACTGTATACATAATAAATAAATCTTAAAAAACAAACAAACAAAAAAAACATTGAATGAAAAACCTTTGGGCTCTGGCTTCTTGCCCAGCCCAGGTGTTTTGGTTTTATAAAGATGACAGATGATCTGTAATGGGACAAGAAGAATGGCTAAGTCTGGGCTTTTAAACCAAGGCCATCCTGTGATTTCTCTGGGTTTTTAAAGGTAAATATGCCATTGCTGTTAGCTGTGATTTTGCCTTTATGGGAAAGGAGCTTTGTGGGGCAGGGGCAGGGGTGTTCCCCACAGTGACAGTCAACTGTTTGGTTTGTGGAGAATGTTTCCTGACCTAGGAGTGGAAGAACCCCTTTAGGGGTTGCTGGTCCCTAAGTGAGGAGACATGGGCATGTTTACGCTCAGTGCCTTCCAGCTCCATCCAGGTTCCTTTGGTCCCTGGCCTTCAAGCACCTGTGCCCAGAGGGCCATTATCTTTAAAAAGAAATCTTAAAACATCAACTGGGGTGTAGCTTAGTAGTAGAGCACTTGCCTAGAATGTCCCAGGCCCTAGGTGACATCCCTAATATTGAAGAAAAGATCTCCCCATATCCTGAAATCCTTACTGTAATTTAAGTTTTCTTGGTTTGTTTTTGAGACAAGTGTGACTCAGACAAGCGTTTGCATTTTAATCAAGGCCTCCTGAAGAATTGCAAGACCCAAAGGAAGTAAAATGAGTGGTAGATCAGGCAGGCTTAGATGCTGTGTAAGACGAAGGAGCCTCAAGACAACAGAGGCCATGGAAACTGGCCTGCCCTTCCGGTTACCTGAAGTAGAGCCCTGGAAGTCAATCCCAGCCCCATTCCAAGGCTGATGTCGAAGGCCATCTGCTTGTGGATTTGGAGCAGGGTCTTTGGCGTCACTCTTTCTGTGTTTGTCCTGTTCCAGTGCCTCAGCAGACAAGGTGCAGCTTCCTCCCCTCTGCTGCCTGGGGTCACCCCCAGCAGGCACGGCTTTTGGTCCACCCTGGCTATCCCAGGATTTACAGGGCCCGTGATGGTGGGTCAGCTGCCTGGGTCAGAAGCTGGCTTACAGAAAGAGTCCGGCAGCCCCTTGGCATGGTTGACTAGTTCATAGGAATCCCGGATGTCAGCCAGGCCAAACCAGAAGAAGATCCACTGCTTGTTGGAGAAGCTGCCATCGCAATGCTTGAAGTACCTGGGTGTGGAGGCAAAGGGTTCAGCTCTTAGGACAAGGGTGTGCTCACTGCTCACTCTGTTTTCAGGATATTTATCTACTACATGACACCCCACTAGGACCAGTTGTTATTTTTATCCTAAGGAGAGCGGCCAGAGCATCTCATGAAGCCTATATTGCCATTTCCCTAAAGAGCAGCTGAGGCTTGGAGATCTTAGGTGACTTGCTAGGACCTCATAGCTCAGGAAGGTGAGAGCAGGGGCATCCCCAGCTCACCCCACTGTCCACCCCACTGCCTCATGTAGCAAAGGAGCTGGTACTTTGTTATTTTCTAGTGCCCACAGAGGAGAGCAGTGGGGGCTGAGGATGTGGCTGCTGAATGAAAGAGGAAGGTGTCCCTCAGGGACTGAGCCTAGAGTCAGGAGCTTGGCCAACTGAGTCCAAGGAGAGCTGGAAGGGTCAGGATTGATCAGAATCCTAGTTAAATGCCATTCGCTTTAAAGAAAGAGCAGAAATGTAGGGCTGAAGCATGTCACTAGGCGACCTTGACCTTAGAGGAGACTTTTCCCTGAAGAAGGGAGCTAGTGAAAGGAGGGATGGATGCCCAGCTGTGCTGCCGGCGAAGGCTCGGGCATGGTTGGCTGGGGCTCCTGGAGGAGAAGGGCAAGGCCTACCAGGGATTGATGGGGTTGGTGACCCTGGAGCGCCAGAACAACGTTTGCAGGTCCCTCCGAAGGCACTCCCACAGCATCTGGCCGGAACCTTGGCCCTGGCGGCTGGAGCTCACCACGAATTTGTCCAGATACGGGGTGCCCCCTAGTACAGGCTCCACTGTCAGAATGGCTGCCGCGTTGTACCTGGCGCAGCGGGAGAGAGGCAGGCTGGGACTTCCCCTTGGCCTGAAGCTGCCCTGCCTAGGACCTCAGGCAGGCCCTGCCCTCTGGGGCCCAGAGGCTCACCCCTCAGAGACATAGATGGAGTGCAGCCGAGGACGCAGCGACTCCAGATAGTCGTCCCGGAGCTTCTTGCCAAAGCTGGCGTTGACTAGGTTCACTAGGCGGCCCTGGTCAAGGCTGTTCAGGTTGCTCACTCGCAGCATCCGCTCAGCGTTCTTAAACAGGGTGCCACAGCCTGGGGAGATTGGACAGTTAGTTGGGCCAGAGTCAGATCCACCACTAGATGCGCCTTCCACCCATCTCCCCAGTTCAAGTTTCTTCCTCCAGTCCCCACCGACTGGGTTCTCTCAACCCCCCCCCTCCCCCCAGGTTTCCACAGCATCGGGAAGCCATTGGTGCAGCCTCTCCCTACAGTCTCCAGCCTGGCTGGGAAAACTGCCACTCCCGCTGGCCGGCAGCCAGGCCTGGTGGATGCTCACCCTGGGGACTCAGCCCAGCCCACCTTCTTGCAGCC